GGTTTCTCGTTGCTTTTATTTTTGCTAGCTGCAGCAGGTAACGAAACATGTTTTCTCCATGTGTTTGATACTGGACCGGTGAACTTTCTTACCAATCCTGGGAATATTATTTTTGACCAGTTCACAATTGTTGCAACTAGGAATACGAACGCCCAATAACCTAAAACCCCCGAACCGTAATATAACGAATCATCATAATTACCCAAAAATTGGTCATAAGCATCGATATATAATTTGACTGAAGTTGAGTTTAATTTAACTGGAACATCTACAGGAACAGTAGCATTGAAATCTTTGATATCACTTGTCTCTTTGGCATTGGAAGTATAATTATCATATGCTGCTTCAAAATCGTCTAGCGTAATGGTTGTATTAAGTTCTGCACAACTTTCACTTAAACCTTCGACTGTTTCCTGTGACACCCTGTTGGCTAGGTGGTAACAACCTGCGATAGTAGCCAATGCATTTGGATCAACACAGTAACACATAGCAGCATAGGGTGAGGTTGGATCACAAAATGTAGCTGTAACACCTACTAACAGGGAACATGCTGAAGAGGTTCTTCCTGATAATCCTGATCTTGAATATGGTGCTGCTTTTGTACTGTCATGCTTTGCATTAACGTTTGTGATACCAATTAAAAAGATAACAAACGAACATAAATTTGTCGATGGAACTTTCATGCTTCGTCACGAATATATTAAGAATAATCTTAAGATGTATAAATCGAAATAAATTATGGAAATAACCAACTTCTTAAATAGGTTTCACAAGACTGAAAATTTTTATCTAATAAATCAGATCTGCAACATTTCGAACGTGCCTGCTGCTATTTGCTGTAAAAAGCTATGAACTATACAGGGTACTTGGTATATTTCAACCCAGTACATATTAACCGATTGGCTAAATAATGCTAACGAAGTAAGGCTAGAAGGTTAGACAACATTTTTTGATGAAATCCTCCTTATAATGTTGAAAAACGCCTAAATTTTGACAATACCATATGCAGAAATGCATGAACAATAAAATTTCGTTATCAGATTATGCTTTGTGCCAAAATTAAAACAATGTCAAAAAAATGAGAACTCCATGCTGGCTGTGCCAAGAATTCTTCAACTGTCAATACTATCAAAAAAGCATACGGGTTAAGGCTTAGTACAAGTGCATATCCGTTTTGAAAAAGAAACTGTGCCGGATTTTGACCAAGTTGAACCATAGTAGATAACTCAGTTGAAAAATATTCTAAGAAAATTGGATCCTATGCAATATGGTTCTGGAAGAATTTAAGAATGAGCGAGATGTAAACTATAACAAACTACGAGACAGAAACTTTGTGTATCAATAATAAAAAAACTTAAAATATACACGAAGCAAGATTGGATTTTATTTAATGGCTGTTATTGGGTAATGCATACGGACAATAAAGCTCTTGGTGCATATTATTGAGTTATGAATCAGAAATAACAAATCAGACTATAGTGTGAGAGAATAGCCAATGTACAGTAGCCTTCTGGGTCTTATTGGTAACTATTTACAGAAGTCCTAAAGTATTATGCCCAAACTTGTAATTGTTCGAAAAACTCAACTCGTTTGTTTTTCGTATTATCCAAATTGCTAACCACGGAATGACGTAAATCATCAACCATTAATGGATGTCCACAGGTAACGAAAGCAACAGATCCATTCGATTCGTCTACTTCTTGAAGAACCATTTCTTCCATGGATGGTCTGCCTTCCTTGAAGGTGACATGTGACAATTCAGACTTCACGATCTCAATGATTCTATTCTTGTCTACTGGCTCTTCGCTAGAACCATCTCCGCTGCTATCCTTTTCTTTGAAAGAATAATTATCCTCAATCTTTTCGTGTTTTTTCTCAACCGCTATATCGACATCAGAATCAGATTCATTTGTGATAAGTGGGATACGGTGATTGAACTCCTCCACGTAAGCTTGAGATTCAGGCTTCGTGATATAAATGGTAGTGTTGATTTTGGTATTCTTCAATNCAAGTATCTCCTCATAAAACCAGTATAATGATCTGTACTCTCTGACAACCCAAACCAATTTCAATGATTGCTTGATATTAGACTTGGACCTGACGGCCAAGTCGTGGATTTCAGAATAGATACCTGGAATACCATTACCACCTGCAATGAACACCGCAGAGTCGTATCTTTTAGCTGCTGTTGGTTCTCCGTAAGGTCCTTCTAACGCAACACGAATTTGAGTAGTACGGCCAGGATGGGTCGCAAGGTATTGATATAACCCATGTGTTACACCTCCTTTGACTTTACAATACAATACAATTTTGTCTTGTTCTTCGGAACTAGTGAATGTGAATGGATGTGATTGCCAGAAACAAGAAGGCCTCATGAAATGGATGAAAGCATGTCCACCAGGAACTGANTTCCAATATGATGGTTTTGGAACTATAACCTTCAACGTTTCGTCAGCTAATAATATAACTTCAGATTTAGGACAGCCAAACACCACTAACCTTCCAATTCTAACAACCCTNTCAAATACCCATACTGCTACGGTAGCATAATAAAACCAGACNTACCCNAANNCNTCAACATGAATCCANGCACCTCCAATAAATAATGCAGCCATGATGATATGAATTATCAAGAACATTTCATACCATTTTCTTCTCAAAAACAACATACCTTGAACCATGATGATACCGCCAGCAACTGTAGCTAAAGTTCCCCATATAAGATACGTCTCTTTCATATCGGCAGCATAATAACCATATATACAGAAAGAAGTGGTAAAGCAAGCAGCATGAATAACTACCAAAATAAAAATAACTCTTGCTACCCATCTATGGAATGCAATGAAGGTTGCGAAATCCCATCTAGTCAACCATTGTAAGAAGTTATTACGACCAGCAAATAGAATCAATAATGGCATGTTAACTGATACCACAATNCCAGTTCTNTCAGCNACATAACGAACNATCGCAAGGCGTCTGGTTTNNAAAANTGGGTCATTCTCAACATATCTGATATTGGCACTGCAGCATGCAATAGTGACTGCAACAAATCCTACAAGAATTAAAGTCTCAAGTCTTGAAGGTACCAAAAAGTCGAAGACCTTCAAGAAGGGTTTCTCGTTGCTTTTATTTTTGCTAGCTGCAGCAGGTAACGTAACATGTTTTCTCCATGTGTTTGATACTGGACCGGTGAACTTTCTTACCAATCCTGGGAATATTATTTTTGACCAGTTTACAATAATTGCAACTACAAATATAAGAGCCCAGTATCCTAGAACACCAGATCCGTAATATAATGAATCGTCATAATTTCCCAAAAATTGATCATAGGCTTCAACATATAACTTGACTACTGTTGAATTTAACTTAACAGGAATGTCAATGGGAATGGTTGCATTAAAACCCTTGATATCCGCCAGATCCTTAGCAAGAGAAGTATAATTATCAAATGCTGCTTCAAATTGTTCAAATGTAATGGAGAGTCCAGATATTTCACAGTTTTCACTTAGCTTGCTAACAAACTCTGGTGACATCTTATCAAGGATATGATAACATCCAGCAACCATAGCCAATGCATTTGGATCAATACAGTAGCAGGTATAAGCATACGGTGATGTTGGATCACAAAATGTAGCAGTGGCCGAGACAGCGCCAGAACATGATGAAGCTATTCTTCCTGCTAAGCCATAATGTGTATAAGGTGCCCCTCCGTCCGCATCAACAATTTCGATACCAACAATAAATACAAATAACAGCAACAAGCTGTATTTTATTGACGAAAACTTCATATTAGAATATTTACGTGAAGAATATTAAATAGCCAAAGAAACATATAGGAAGAAAAATATAGATACGGTTATATACTTAAATACTTCCATTAATTGAAAAGCTTCAACTGATAAAATAAATGTGCATATTTAGAACATATTTTTTGACATTTGTTGCAGGTAAGCCAAAAGCTACAGGAAACTACCTATTGATCTCCCCCAGGTTATATGACCGATTGGCTAGTAAGCTCTAGCGTACTGAAAATTAGGCAACAGTCTTAATTACGATTTCCTTATAATGTTGAACAATGCCGAAAATGGAAGTTCTGTTCATGTGCATGTTTTTTAAACAATAAGCATTTTGCGTATCTAGTTATCTGATTGTGCCTTGCGTCAAATTTAAGGCAGTCAAATGTATTATACAGCATTTGACTTGAAAAATTACCGATGCCAAGAATTGACTTGCTGTCATAACAATAACTTAAAAATGGGTGATCCTGAAATGGTACTCATGACATCTGCGAACGGTCGCTGTCAACCAGAGGTGTACTACTAACGAAAAATTATTCTACCTGGTTTCAGCAACAACAACAATAATAATACAGTTTAGGAATATAAAATATATATTATGTATATTACAGACCATAATCGGTTATAAATGTATTTCGTTTAGAGTTAAAGATCCAATCAGATAACTTCTGATAAAAAAGAATTTTCGAATACGTCCGCACTGTTGTACATTGATCAAATGATAAACTGATGAAAGCATTGTTTTATTTTGCGAACAATAATATAAGTATTTTAACCACTAACCACGTATTCGGCTATGTAGGCTCGACCGGATTTATTGACAGGCGGATATTAGAGCATGGTAGGATCTGGAACCCGACATACTTGTTTATTCTAAACTAAGAAATACAAAAATTTATTGGACCGGAAGATACAGGTTTCCTGTAAGAATTGCATTGTCTATGAGGTGAAAAGGTTTTGTAATGTGTATCTCTTTGTCTGGTATATTATATTGGGTTTTACGGGCAGATACTAAATTAGTTATTTAAAGGAGTCTTTGAATTTACGGAATCAATACTTTCCCTGGGAATAACCGAAGTAACACGCAGCGATATTGGAGCATAATGAGAACTGATCCTCTTAGAAATTCTCTTCTTTTGCAAGGTTAATGGAATAACTGGTAACCTGCCAGGTTTTTCAAATAATAATGAAGCAAATACCAAATTTACCGTGATCCAATAAATGTTGTAACTTATGACACTCCCATAGGTAGCACTATTAGTCCATCCTAACACTGCATTAAGTACCATCCGAATAGGACCGTCATCCTGTAACTCACCGTTAGAACAGTTTACACGCCATATACTTTTGGATATATCATATGAGCCTGCTCATGGCCGGTTTCACTCACGTCAAATGTATCGCATAAATCGATAAATCTTTGCAACTCAAAATTCCATATACCCTTAGAGAATAATCCTGCCGCGACTAGATATAAGAACCCAGTGGACGCGATCAAAAACCATTGCAAGGATAATGTGTTTCCAGGCGGTAGAGTAAAACACCGATTAGCGAACCAAAAATTAACGCTGTTGCAAATGAATTAAAAATAGCCCAAATTGAAGTATTCTCGTTGATCCGAATACCTCCTATGAAAATTATAGCTTCCATTCCCTCTCTTAATGTCGTCACGAATGGCAAAATAAACATGGCGTACTTTTCAGAAAAATTAGAAACCTTTCCTGATAAATCAGAATTATCACCTGGTTGTGTCATTATATTCCCAATATAATTAGACTGGTTAATCAATGTTGATAATTTATTATTCCATTTATTTTGCATTTTACTTACTCTCAATATTTTAATACCCATTACTGATATAATGATATTAGCTAGTATAGAAAACGTGCCTTCCCAGTAATGCTCTGCTACTGACCAAAAATCTTTGCCTATTATGTAAAATATTGCCAAGATTAGCGATCCAATTATTAAACAACATGTAACTCCTAGTAGCCCGCCAATCCATATCTGGAGCCTCAAATACTTGTATATCGACGTATTTTCTACAGCAAGGCTGGTATGCTGAACATCTGAGATCTCTGAGTCTCCTGTCTCCTATAATACTCCTGATGTTTCATCACCATCAACAATATGATTCGTATTCAACGTGCTACGGTTATAATTTAAAGGATTATTGGAACTGAAACTTTGTTTTATGAATGCTAATAATACTGATATAATAATTGCCAGTTCTAATGTTCCCGCAACACAATAATAAATACTTGCACCGAGAAGTAATTGTTTAACGTCCTCATCCCAATCTGGTTTTTCAATGACTTGTAATAAAAATTAAATAATAATTTAGTATCCTTATATATATATTTATATATATATATATATATTTGAATTAGTAATTAGTCAAGCCTTGTATGACTTTAAATAATACACTGATCCATTTAAGCTTCTATCTGATTAATCAAATTACTTTTCGCGACCAATTTTCGCCGTATCTAGTTCCTAACTCGGCTCGTAATTCATTCTACTTTCATTAACATAATAAATAGTATTTACTGGTAGTGGAATTCATTTACGTGTGGGTTAAGGTCGGGGAATATTCAACTATATTTTGTTTCAAACTGCTTCTTCTCATGTTGTAGTTTTCTATTTTCGGGTGACCTTGTGAAAGTATCCCAGTCTAGAAATGAATCTAACTGCTTATTATCCTTGACATCTTCGTCAAAATCCGTTAAATCACTTTCATTCTGCTCGTCAGGAAGGAGTTTACGCTTCTTAAATTGGTCAGAAACGTTTCTCAAAGATGACTGCGGATTCGGTTTGGGTCTTTGTTTCCTTGAGTTTGTCATAAATATGCCAGCTGATGCCTTGGCACTTGTGCGATTTTTTTGATGACTAGGATTAGATAAGGTACCATCGACATTTGATGCAGATAGATTAGACGAGATATTATTGGAATTTTTCGTAGACGGCTTTCGAGATATATGAACTTCTCTTCTTGGAGACCTGTCTCTCAAACTCTGATATGACGTTATTGGCTCGCTGGATTCTTTGTGAGGGGCATTGGCACCAGGTTTCTCCTGGGTTCTTTTAGGTATATATGTATCAGTATGCTTTTGTTGAGGTACGTGTGCTTCTTGCTGATGTTGATGTTGATTATAAAACTTTGGTTGTTTTGGTAAGGCTGAAGGGAAGTTACCATTTCGGTTTTTAGGATAGTTATTTGAATTATTGTATTCACCCGGACCTTTTGGAAAGTGCGCCTTGGGAATTTTGTTAGCTTCATGAATATTATTCTTCTTTTCTTTTAACAATTTAAATCTCTCCTTATCTATCTCATGACATTCTTCGAACTTTGGTAATTCATGTGGTTTTATTGGCAATGGTTCATTTTTAAAATACTCATGACTAAGAGCATCCAATGCATTGAATCTTTTATATGGATCAAGAGTTAATAAGCCAGATAATAAATCAATTCCATCAGGACTCATTAGAGGTGCAAATTTTGATTCTAGATTTCTTTGGCACGTCAAACCAATGTTTAAATCATGTTTATTTGGTAGGCTTGTAGCTTGCGACCAGCTCTTAGAATTTGGCGGTCCAACCAAGTCGAATATAAGTTGGGCTTGATGTGAATCGGTCTTACCAACAAGTATTGGTTTACGTGTAAATAATTCACCAAAAACACATCCAATACCCCACATATCAACTGCAGTAGTATACCTTCTCTCTCCTAGCAATAACTCCGGGGGTCTGTACCACCTAGTTACAACAAGCCCAGTATAAGCTCTCTCACCACCACCAGGTCCACTCATGAATTTTGGAGGGGATCCATGATACACTCTAGCCAAACCAAAATCAGCAATCTTTAATGTTCCATTGCGGTCAATGAGAATATTTGCTGCCTTTATATCTCTGTGTAAAAACATTTGCTCGTGAATGTACTGAATACCATGCAATAATTGTTCCATAAAACATTTAATATGAGATACTTCAAGATTTATATTGGGATTCTCCAATAACCCAACTAAATCAGAGCACATATAAGGAGAAACTGTGTAAAAACAGCCTCGCTGATGAAGTATATCCTGGGGGTTTGAAATTTTCGGTTCTTCATATATCATATCCATTATTTTCAAAATATTCTTGTGATTTAATTTCTTCAAAATGGTAATTTCTCTCATAGCCGTTATTGGAAATCCCTCTTTTGCTGAATGATTTATTAGCTGTTTCAATGCAACTAGTTCCTTTGTTTTAATATTTCTTGCTTTTTGAACTACCCCAAATGTCCCTTGGCCCAACTTTTGAATGATTTCATAATTACGCAATTTGCTCATATCACGAAATCTATTAATGGGTTGCAACTTAATCGAGCAAGATTTTGTTGATTGGTCATTCGGTACTACTGATTCACTAGGCTCAGGACACTCCATACTTCCAACTATTATGCTCTGGAGATATTGCTAAGAATAATTGAATTAGACAATTTAAGATGCTCTTTCATATTTGAACGATGCCACGACTGAGATTGCAAAAAAAAATTCTGTTTAAATGAATTACTATTATTATTATTGAAACACCTATATGAATGAATACTATATGACTAGTCTAAATAAAGAATTAAAAGCTTTTTAGTTACCAAAATATAATTATTAATTTATGCACTGTGATCGTCATTTTGAGTAACGAATTTTGACGCTTTCTTTCTATCCTTAGAAATTTGACGAGATGCCTTAACATTGAATCCATTAGCTAAAAACTCTGTAGTTTCTTCTAATTCTAAGCTTGAAACTTCTGGCAATAAGAAAAAAACAAAAAAGAATGCAACACAACATAAACCTGCGAAAAATGCAAAAGTGCCGGGAGGAGTAATATTCTCCAACATGGTCAAGAAAGTGGATGCAATAACTAAGGAACCAGCCCAATTAGTAGCAGCGGCATACATACAACCGACAGCTCTAACATTTACATCGGAGAATAATTCAACACCAGTCCAAGCACTGTTACCTATACCAATAGCGTAAGAGGCCACAAACCACACCATACCGAGAATAATAACAATTCCCCAGCCAGTAATGCCTCTCGCTTCAACAACAACATCAGACTCTGACGTAAACTTGACACCTAAAAAGTGGAAGGCTATCGCACAAAGAATTAATGATGTACACATGCATGGAATTGCACCTAATAGAATACGTCTACGTCCTATTTTATCAATAATGCACAATGCAATCCCTGTAAACACAAAGTTCGTAGCGGCAATAATAATCGACACTGCAGTTGCATTATCGAATCCAATCGTTTCGAAAATTGTTGCACTGAAATACATTAAGGAATTAAACCCCGTAAATTGCTGTATACCTTGTAAGCCACAAGCCAAGATTAATGCCCTGAAATTTGCCGGATTTGTGTGAATGATTTTAATTGAATTCCACGCTTGAACTAATGGATTATTTCCTGGAACAGTCGAATTGGATGCGATCATATCTTGAATAGTTGCATTAACGAAAGCATTGGAAGGATTGTGGTGAGTTTTACTCAAAACTTTTTTTGCATCTTCAACTCTACCTACCATAATATAAAACCTAGGGGTATCGGGTAAGAAACAAAATAATACAAATTGAATTACTGGGGGTACCATACATAATCCAACAGATACTCTCCACCCATTATTCACACCAGTTAATCCCCAGTTTATAAAATAGGCAACCAATTGGCCTCCAGTTATAAACATGCAATTGGTGACAATTAAACGGCCCCTATATTTTGAAGGTGCCAATTCGCTCAACATCAAAGGCGAAATCAAAGAGGCAATACCCACTCCGAGTCCCAAAACAAATCTGCCAACAATCATCGTCCAAACAGTATGTGCAGCTAATTGAATTATAGTTCCTACAACAAAAATAACGTTTGATCCTAACAAGACCATTTTTCTTCCTATCAAGTTGGCTAATATGCCTCCAATGATAGCTCCAATCAACGCACCCAAAGAAGTAGAAGATGTAATAAATTCTTTCTCGCCGTTAGACAATAATTTATTGCTCAAATCAGTACCAATATTCACCAACGCGGACGATATGTAACCGGTGTCATATCCAAACATAAACCCACTTATAGATGATGTTAACGTGATTAAAATAATCAATTTTGATGGTCTTGCTTCCGAATCAGAAATAACTGATTCTGAGCTCAACAATTCTGACGAACTTTTGGGACTTGGTTCAGTCATAACATTATTTGTAGATCCTGATCTTTCTACTTCAATATCTGATGTAGTACTATCTATTGTCACGTCATGACAGTCATCTTTTTTAGTTGAATTACTCATGTTCAATCGTAAAATGTTGTTGTTTTACAAAATTTAAATATGAGATATGAAATATGCAATATAAGAGATGATACTAATGAATATGCAACAATATAATAACAAGTAACGAAGTTCTGAGAAGAATTTTTGATTTATAAATAAGAGACATTCCTTTGATTACTAGGATTTAATTTTCGCCGAGAGATGAAGGAGTTCGGCAAAATCAGCCAATAAAAATACAGGACACGAAAGTTGAGGAATTTAATTTCGCCGAGTTGCGTTTGGAAAGATTACTTAATTACTTCTATAGAATAATCAAGAACTCTGATAGAATATTTGTATCGATGCCGAAACCAGGAAGATTTTAAGGCTAGCAGTATATAACACCAAAAATCGAATGTCTGTACGTTAACATTCTTTTACGGGTAAAACCAATGTATTTAGTCAATTAGAATCTACGTTTACAATCAATATAACAATTATGAATAAATTAAAAAAATAACTATCTAGTGTATGTTAAATGAGGAACAATGTAAAAAAATATAAAAAATATAATAATAATATAAAGGATAGGTTAAATTTAAATTATTTCCAAAACAGATTAGTTATTTGGCGATATAAACAGATTAAATTAAATCTCTTTCTTTAATAAAATAAACTTATTAGATCTTTTATAGTATTTTCATAATCATGACAAAGGGAAGTAACTTTTTTCTGTATCAATTTCTTAACTAGAAACTTAAAAATTGAAAAGCTTATAGAAACAAATCGAACTCCAACAAGTGCAATTGCTCAAAAAGACAAATGATAAAACGTATGGATCAATCATTTATCTATTTTCTTTTAGATGGGGGGTCGAATCTGATCTTTCTATTCTTGATTGGTTGCCATTTGAATTTCTTGACCCAAACGGATACTAAGTATAAGGAAGAAACAATAATAAGAGCCTTCAAACCCCATTTCTTTCTGTCATCGTGTTCAGGTTCTGAAGCCCAGTTCAAGAATGTAGTAACATCCTTGGCCATTTGCGAGGTGGTGGCTGGAGTACCATCTTCGTATTCAACTAAATCATCAAACAAAACTCTACCCATAGCAATAGCCCCACCTGGGAAGTATGGGTTGTAGTTGGAACCTTCTGGTAACACAACACCGGCTGGTGGGTCGTCTGGGTAACCGGTCAATAACGAAAAGATGTAGTCGCATCCTCCATGTCTGGCCTTAACAATTAATGATAAATCTGGTGGTAAAGCCCCTTGGTTGGCAGCTCTAGCAGCTTGTTCGTTTTCGTATGGCGATGGGATGTAATCAGCCAACTTACCTGGTCTCTTTCTTGGCTTACCTTCGTCATCTGGTTCGTCGTCGTATTCCAAGTCTTCAGCAAACGCCTTGGCTTCGGAAGTGGTGTGGGAAACACCAACAAGGTTTCTCCAAGCAATTCTTTCCAATGAGTGACAAGCAGCACAAACTTCTTGGTAAACCTGGTATCCTCTTCTAATAGAAGCATGGTCAAATGTGTCAAACATCCCATTGTGCGACCATCCGTAAGCTGGTGGATGTAACCCATGTTCTGCGGCCGTCATGGCACTAGCAGTAACTGAATCTTGATATAATAAATATGATGCAGTTAAACCGGTAACACCAACAGAACCGGCAATAAATTTTTGAACTAAAGGATTAGCTGCTTTAGCAGTAGATCTAAACATCTTGGATTAAAATTATTGACCAATTTATTAGAAATTGAATTGAACAAAGTTGGATTAATATAATATTTATCAACAACTACTAATGGACTGAGAATTGATTATACTCACGTTAAATTTTTCAAATGAACAAAGGCTAATCGTTTATTGGTTGAAACGAATGTTTTGGCCATGTGCACGAAATAGACCATAGGGGACACCGATATTATTAATGCGGTGCAGTTTTTTTCATTAGGACAATCCTTATTAGCTCAGTTGGTAGAGCGTTCGGCTTTTAAGGATTAAAGATTTCTGTCAAAGAGTCGACCGAAATGTCCAGGGTTCGAGCCCCTGATGAGGAGTCCTATTATTTTTTTATGCTGAGCATGTACGTAGTATACTGTATGTTCTTTTGTATGCTATTGTATATTTATGTATGTAGATACTTATCGAATGGTATTGTTCCTTTAAGGCAATCAAAGGAAAGGATGGTTTTTAGCAAAGATTCTTGCAAATGATGTCTAAATTTCAGACGAGGATATTTAATATTAAAAAAACTACCATTTTTCTTCGGGATTTTGCTTGAACTCCTGGTAGTCACTCCAATTGAACATGCTGATTTCGGTTTCGTTCTCGATCCCCAATTCGTACAAAGACTTTTCATCTCCGGTGATGGTGTTGGAAGTGTCCTCGCAGAGCAAAATCCAGTCGTTGTCGTGGTCCAAGTTTATGACTAATTGCATCGACTTGGAGCCATGGGCCTTGGTGTAGATCTTAAGGGTGTCGTAGATGACGTTACGGTATGGTCTCAAGCCACCAGTAGTGTTTATGGTATTGCGGAGAGACTTGATTAAATCCAGTGGAGTGGTTTCCTTCAAGTTGACTGATGGAAGAATGTGGTTCTTGACGTTTCTGTAAGGAAACGATTTCACTATACGAATAGTGAGCACAACGTCTGTCGCAGGACGGACGTGTGACGTCAAGGGTTCATCGATATTCATTCTGGATACTGATTTGCAAATATGCCATCCATCTCTGGGAATAGTTTTTTTATCAGTGATGTCGTGTGAAAACCGACTGATCTACAGCAGCATAGCAGTGACAGAATAATAGGCTGCTGAGTAGGATATGCCGTAGCCTAGATAACTTAGGGATAGAAGTGGCATGTGTCGTCACTTCATTATTTGCTTATCTCGGAGGTAGTGAATTATTCATATCCCGTCGATCGTTTTCGTTCGATGACTAGACTCTGTCGTTATTATGAACAGTGGTTTTAAACTTCAAGGTGGTTACTGTACATATGGATATTTCAATCCATGGCCTGTTACCATCTATATCTTATCTGTCTATATTTTATTTGTATATATGTAATCTGTGAAATAATGCAAATCTCAGATTCCATTTTGCACCCAAAATGTGCCCCGTCGTACACTTGCAATGAAAAATCTCTGTTTACGTTCGTGTTTACCCTCCGAATATGTTCTAATCTCTTGGTCACAGTCAACACGGGTTCTACATTCTTCAACAAATATCGTTTGATTTTTCTATCCTTAATAGTCTTGCCCACTCATTAAATATTGTAGATTTTAATGATATATACCAACTCATATAGTTATAAAGCAAGCCAAAATATGTATGAAATACAGAATATATTACAAATATAATGTATATATCATAATTCATAGTTCATAGTTCGTAGTTCATAATTATCTAACTAACTATAGTATTATTAAATTAACTACATTTACGAGATGTTATCATTTTCTACAAAATGTCAAAAAAATCCCGATTGATTGGTTTTTCACCTTAAAAACCATCCTACAAATAGAAAATACCAATACCCATCACATATCTTACATACATCAGATAGTTTTACTGACCCACTATTCACCACATGGATCAACTGATAGCATTATCAATGTCGCGCGAATACCAAAATTTCAAGGCAGTTTCCAAAATTAGCCTCAAATCAATAGAAAAAATTTCTCAATGTAACATATGTTTTGATTTCAATAATTGAATTACCGGCAGACACCCTTATTATATTAGATCAAAAAACTCTTCAACTGAAGGAGGTATTATAAATTCAAGTTCGTTGTGATAAATAAAGATAAATTAGAGTAAATTATGAGTAGTGGTGACGCTTTACCGACTTTAAGTGATCTGGATTCATACACAACCCCGGCAGTTACTGTTCCTTCAAATAATGATAACCCTTACATTGTAAGACAATCCAACCCTTCAGGTACAGTTTTTATTGCTGTTGGAGCTATTGTTGGGGCGATTTTCTTAGGTTTCATATTTTACCATTTGATCAGATCATTAACAGCATCAAGATTAGCGAAGAAAACTTTGGATGGAGATAAGGAAATGTACGAAAAATATCAAAATAACAACAGTACAGCATATGGTGGTCATGGGCTTACTGCTTCATCTACATATAATACCGAGTCTGTGGCTAAATTGCCATTATTATCTCATCATGCTAGCAGACAACACCTAGGTGGATTCAACGGCGCCAGTGGTTCTCAAATCGGAGATACTTCGACTATATATGCTTCAGAAACAGCCGCAGCTACATCGAAGCATGATTTGACCAAGATGTTTATTTCGCCCACTGCTGAAGTCATGTCGCACAACAGAACAAAATCAGGGCACTTTGGAGGCTCTACTAACTCATTATTTGGCGGTTCGACAAGCAATTTGGTAAATCCATCACCTGCCACTAATAGACACTCACAATTGGTACCCAGTTTATACATCAACAACGAAACTAACAACAGTGATTACTCGCTTAATAGTCATGCACAATCGCAACAAGCTCAATCTCAACAGCTGCAGCAACAACAGCAATTGAATACTCCAGGAAAGAATAACAGAAGAGCCATTCCTAGTATGTATCTTGAAGATTTAATTGATAATGAATAAGCAAGTTATTTGGCGAGTCGCCTATGCCAGGACACTGGCTCTATCGCTGTTATCTATTAGTAGCTGATGTATTTACAACAAGCTTGTGAATACATGCAATAAAGCTATTGCATAAATTTGAGAGTAGCTTAATTATATACACGAATAAATGCCTTGAAGAATTAAATACATAGGATATAGGCAGCCATATATTTTAGTAATCGTCTACAAGCAGCATGGGACTTTTATTCTCACATTCCAACTGGTCCTACGCATCGTAGCAATATCCGTTCATTTAAAATATTACAAACAGCAGTACCCAACGGTATTGATTTCTGTTAGAAACACTAATGTAGTACGGATTGTATTCTTTCAAAGAAGGCCCAAATAACAAATTAGCGGGCTACGAATGAGGTTCAGCTAAATTATGGATATCTGAAGTATACTCTTGAAGATCTAAACGAATAATTTCGTTATTGAATAGTTCTATTGCTCCTAAAAACATCATTTTTTGAGTTCATTATCCTAGAGTCGTCTACTAGATCTACAAAGAGGTATAATCATCAAACTGATTCATTCGTAAAATGTAGTTAGAATTAACATCTTCTGTATGTACAAGTCTAACCGAGGAAGCATAAGCGAAAAAATCGTCAAGCATAATATGGCTTTACAGAAGAAATTGATGATAAAATACGTAGTATAGGCCTTAGTAGAAAAACAGTTGTGGTAGGCGCACATCGCACTAAAATGTATCTTGAGTGTGTTTATGTTTGTTCAGCCTCAGGCTACTTTGATAAGTCATTATACCTTTAACTTAGTACATAGTATAATTCATAATGCCTCTTTGTGGCGGTGGTCAAAATACGAGTATGTATCATATATGTTGGATATGGATCTGGTTTCAATGTTCAATTCTTAGTTTTGAGGAATCCAAATGAGTTGAAAAATTAAATGACAAGTGTGATTTGGTACTAACGCATTAGTTCAACGTAAAATAGTAATTCTAGGTGATGGTGCATGTGGTAAGACATCGTTGTTGAATGTTTTCACAAGAGGATACTTTCCTCAGGTGTATGAACCTACTGTGTTCGAAAACTACGTACATGATATTTTCATAGATGGCCAATCAGTTCAATTATCCTTGTGGGATACGGCTGGACAGGAAGAATTTGACAGATTAAGATCGCTTTCGTACTCAGATACGCATTGTATCATGTTGTGTTTCTCTATAGATTCTCCAGACTCGTTAGAGAACGTTCAATCGAAATGGGTTGGTGAGATTGCGGACCATTGCGAGGGTGTCAAATTGGTGTTGGTGGCTTTAAAATGTGATTTGAGAAATAACGAAGATACAGATGTCGACCAAAATGGAGGAAATACAGGAGGGGCAGAAGATGAATCGTTCAATCCATATTCGCAGTCGTCTTCAAATCCATACCAACAACAGAAACGATTAATAAGTTACGAAGAGGGCTTGGCTGTCGCCAAAAAAGTCGGTGCTTTAAGATACTTAGAATGTTCGGCCAAAAAGAATAGAGGTGTTAACGAGGCTTTCTCTGAAGCAGCTAGATGTGCTCTTAACGCCAAGCCAAAAGGTGCTAATGATAATGAACCAGAAAAAAAAAGTTGTGTTATAATGTAAAAGGGGACAAGATGAGACGCCAAAGAGTTTTAGAATTTCTGTACTTATTAATTATTTATTCCAGCATTCTTATTCGTCTTTAGTTTGACTATTTATTCAAATTAATTCATCTCTTCCCCTACGTCGCTTCCGCATTAGTGGTTGATATAATAGTGTACTTATACATTTTATAGTCTAAATAAATACAAAAGATCGTGAAAATTCCTCGAGGTGCTATGTACATGATATGTTGGACCGATTTATTTATATTCCTTAAATGGTTGATTTAGAGGTTTTTCTCTCGCATCCCATATGTCTTCTGAACTTCCCTTGGCTTTCTCTTCCAATAATCTTTTTTTGAAAAATGCTTGTACATTTTGTCTTTTTTCAAGTTCCTTGGGACTAATATCGTAGTCAATTTCTTCGTTTAGATTACTTGAGAATGTCCCGTTCTTTAAAGCAAACCAGATTTTTTCTCTTTGTTCTGCGCATGTTGAATACGAACCATATCTGTAATAGTTTTTAACCTGTCCACCTAAAGCAAAACACAGTAATAACTCATCAAAAGCTGTAACGATTGAAATTTGACTTGGGAATGATTTGCTGTTGGAATTAATTGCTTTCGTTATCTGTTGGCGCTTTTGTTGAATTTCTTCTGGACTATCCTGGAATAACGACCATATTTCCTTTAAATCATCATTTTCGTTGTTATTGGAACTCATTTGTGCTTTCGTTTACCCGAACGGTTCTTAGATTTAATAATATAATTTACGAAAGAAAAAAAAAAACTCTACAACGAACTTAACCTCTTTGTAGGAAAGACTTGTGTTTTAACTAGTTCGAAATATCGCATACAGAAATATTTGAAAAATAAAAATGCCTTCAGCCAGATTCGAACTGACGATCTCCTCATTACTAGTGAGGTGCCTTACCAACTTGGCCATAAAGGCTTAAATTTAATTTTGTAGAAACCACAAAATTAATATATGTCACAAATTGCAAAAACTTCTATTATACACGACTAATTTTTTTTCAAAATTTGTTTTTGTTGAAGCATGAATTTTCAAGAGTAGAGAGCTTCAATTTATAGGCAAAAATCAATAGGAAATGTTCAATATAGGCCAGTCATTCAAGCTCAGGGCGTTTTCTGGGTCTAGCTTGCTTACTAGTTTCCGTAATATTTCATACTTAGGGAAATTAGAACCATTCGAGGGAGCTGTAACGCAATATAAAAGGCTCGGTAGAGGTCCAGCTTCAGGAAAAGGTAAAACTTCAGGAAGAGGTCAAAAAGGTCAAAAAGCTAGAGGTAAGGTTCCTAAGTGGTACGAAGGTGGTCAAACCCCATTTTACAAGAGATTCCCAATTATAGGCTTCAAGAGACCACATAGAAAAATCTATCATGATATTAATTTGGAAAGGATTCAGGATTTCTGGAATACGGGTAGAATTCCTTTAAGTCCCGGGGAGACCTTGACTATAAAGGTTATGAAGGACTGTGGTATAATTAGCGGTACTTTGAAAGATGGCGCTAAGATATTAGCCAATGGAAAAGAGAACTACAATGTTCCCTTAAGTATTGAAGCATCGAAGGCATCTTTGTCTGCTATAAGAGCTATTGAAAATCTTGACCAAAAATTTACGGCCGTTTATCATTCTGAACTTGGTTTAAAGGCTCATGTAGACCCAGATTATTTTTACTTGAGAAAAGGTTATTTGCCGCTTCAAGCTAGACCAACTCATAGAAGAGACATCGGATACTACTCCAACCCTGATAAAAGAGGATATTTACTTGAAAATAAATCTATTTTGTTAGATCATGTGGGACAGGAAAGCTCTGCTAGAAGAAATGTTCGTAAGAGTGAATTGGCTAAGCAATTAGAGTCAGCCTCGAACAAGACCTCTTCTGATTTTGCCCAATCATCTGAAATTAGTGTAGCTGATTTATAATATAGTGATTTATAATATAGTTATTATTCATCTCTCATGTATATACTTATAATAATAACATCATTAACTATTGAAATGGCTTGGGTGTCGAATTCGATGATACTAGATCATCAATGTCAACAAATACTTGCAATAGCTTTTCAACTATATCCTGAATGTCATTTAATTCTACATGCCCGTTTTTGCTGGATTTCTGCAGCTCTTGGTTAAACCCATAGTTGAATTTTCGCAACGAGAACATGGTTGACTTGTACGTCATCTTGTATACCTCTTTTATGGCAATTTTTTCGTTGGTAGACTGACTCGTACTATTTAAATTCAATCCTCGTATTCTCAAACCAGATAATATGATTTTGTTAACTGCCTGAGTTATTTGGTCATTTGTCGTCAAGACCGACGAAGATAATTGTGTTGCAGACCGCTTCGTAACCGATGTGCTAGGCATTATAAACAGGTTCGATTTCAGCCTCCGCCCTTTACTAGATAGTACTTTGTCGAATATGCTTGTATCTGAAGACTTCGGAATGATAATGGAACTCTCCAAGTTTATAAATGAACTTGTATTTATTGAACTATTGTCACTTTCAATCGCTTGGTGCACTTTTTCTAGTATGCTGAAATCAATAACAAGACATTTTATCTGTAGATCACCTGAATTATTATCCACATAGAGAACTAGGTATAAGTTTTCATCTGTCTCATTTTTAACCATTAGTCCTATGTGGTTATAATTCACTGAAAATTGTACTAATCCCTTTTTAAAAAACTCAGCCGTCTTTTCGTTATTTGAATATATCCCTAGAGGCTTGCTAATAAGTAAATAAATGGGTATCAATTCATATTTGACGTAACTTATGACTCTAAAACTGTCATTGGACTTCAACGCGTTGACACCTAACTTGCTATCGCCTTCTGTATTGCTCCATATCTGAATATCACCAACTTTATTATGATCTGTAGCTATTGATATAGTGTTCCATATATGCATATTATAGGAGGATTATATCATTATATATGTATGTATACTGTAGCAGATAGCTAATTCTATGTTGATTACACAAATGCTCGCAGTTTTTGGCGATGAGCATTATCTTCAATTTCCACTGTTGATGATCAGTCAACAACGATAGAGCACTCTAGTAAATACTCCTGGGATACATATTAAAATAAACTAATTTTTCTACACATATATCCATGAGTGTAAATACAAGAGTCTACTCAGTAGCGAGAGTTTACGCTGATGCTAATAGTAATAGACCGGCTGAATATTGGGATTATGAAACTCACAAAATAGAATGGGGTCAAATTAAAAATTATGAAATTATCAGTAAAATAGGTAGAGGGAAATACTCAGAAGTGTTTCAGGGAATCAATATTTACAATGACGAACCATGCGTTATAAAAGTATTAAAGCCGGTAAAAATGAAAAAAATTTATCGTGAAGTTAAAATTTTAAAAAATTTGACGGGTGGCCCTAATGTTATAGGATTGCTTGATATTGTCAGGGACGAACTGTCGAAGATACCTGCATTAATTTTTGAAAAGGTCAATAATGTTGATTTCCGTGTTTTGTACCCTAAGTTTACGATAAGTGACATCCAATATTACTTCACACAGTTATTGATAGCTTTGGACTATTCACATTCGATGGGTATAATCCATCGTGATGTCAAACCGCAAAATATCATGATTGACCCATTAACCAAGAAGTTGAGATTAATCGACTGGGGTTTAGCAGAATTCTATCATTCAGGTATGGACTACAACGTAAGAGTTGCTTCGAGATATCATAAAGGACCAGAGTTATTGGTCAACTTGCAACAATATGATTATTCTTTAGACTTGTGGTCTGTTGGATGCATGCTCGCTGCAATTATCTTCAAAAAGGAACCATTTTTCAGAGGTGATTCTAATAACGATCAATTAGTACAAATTGCAAAAGTCTTGGGTACAAAGGATTTATTGAACTATGTTAATAAATACGGCATAAAATTGAGCGATGAATACGACAGCATTCTAGGTAACTATCCTCGAAAGCCTTGGTCCCAATTTATCAATTCCGATAACCAACATTTAATATCCGAAGAAATAGTTGATTTTATCGATAAATTGTTAACATACGACCACCAATTAAGACCTACAGCAAAGGAGGCCATGGACCATCCTTTCTTCGCCATGAAGTGTAATTAAACTTCTTGTTGCTACATGCTACATTATTGTTATCTTGTATACCTAACTTATCTAAAGCTAATTTCCCGAGAACAATTATGGAACAATTCTATAATGATTTCTACTGGGCAACACTATTTGAAGATGGCTTATAATCTTCTAGTTATCTTTTTCATTTGTAGTCATACCAATTATATAATAATATGTAATATTAATATACCGTATATTAATGGTAGCGTAGCAGTCGCCCCAATTTTCTACATTGATAGAGGCTTTTGAAACGCGTTTTTAAAACATTTATTAGTTATCGGCAAATTGACGCATTAAATCTCCGTACTTGAGACATCGTATAAATATACCGTTTTAGGGACGTATCAGAACCTCTTACATAAAAGGATTTGGTGATACTTATTTTAGGTAATTTGTTAAAATTAATTCTAAAACTATTTTTTACCTCTTGTTTCGTCAAATAGTATGAGATGTCACAAGCAACTAATCAAGAAGGGTCTAATGATTGGGTTGCGTTGCAACATAAAACCATGACAAGATGGATAAATTCCAAGATAGAGGAAGAAATTACTGACTTACAGCATGACTTACTGGATGGGTTGGTATTAGTTAAATTAATCAATAAGATAATCGTGGAGATAGCAGATAAAAATCCCCAGGCTAAGTTATATTGTTTGCATCCGGTTTATAAAAAGCCAACCTTCAAGCTACAGAAATATGAGAACGTTAATGATTTTCTTCAATTCGTCCAAGTTGTGCTAAAGATCAATATTTGTAATATTAGTGCTGATAATATAGTTGAAGGGAATCTCAAGCTTGTTTTGGGACTTATATGGTCAATTTTTATTTTTGCTACTACCAATTCCATGCCAAGTTCCAGTGATGGAACCTCGTTTGTCAAGGTTAAGCAAATACTCCTAGAGTGGGTGAATTTAATTGTTCGTAAAAAGGGCTTAAACAAAGTGACCAATTTCGATAGGGACTGGTCGTTGGAGATAAATAGGCCTGATTTGATATTTCTTGGTATATTGGATTACTACTTACCAATAGAAGTACCTGTTGAGCCATACTCCAAAAGGTTACAAAATATGAACAAGGTATTTGAGATAGCCAAAATGTTGAACATACCGCAGTTGGCTGATTCTGAAGACTTTGCTTTATTTGTTCCCGAAGAAAAATGTATCGTAACCTACGTATTAGAGTGGTTTAAAGTCTTTCAATTGGGAACTAAGTTTGATAGCTCAAAAGATAACAGTAAAGAACCTGATGGAGTCCTCGGTGTAGAGAATAAAGATATACTTGAGACAGGGAATGATTTATCCGAAAAACTACTGGAATCATCTATTCCTTTGCACAACCGGGAACCCTTGAATGCAAAAAAGAATAAAGTTGTCCTTGATAGATTCATTGAAACAATTGTTAGTTCGGCTCGGCAGAAACAAAAGTATGAAAACAAGTCGTTGCTTTTATGTAATCGAACGAACATGATGATTTCAAAGATCGTGAGAAACGCATATTACTTCAACGATTTTTCTATCGACTATCTTATTGATTCCTTGGATGAGTTTTTTACTATGTTTTCTAACGCTTATAATTGCATGGATGGGAGCTTCAGCAGTAATATAAAGGAAGCACTTCACAAGTTTGCGACAATAAAAATTAAATTCAAAATATTGATTGAAATTTTGGAAGAATTTGAAAGCTATAGATCAGAAACCAAGTCCATGTTAATGTATAACAACCTACCTGAATTAAAGAAAATATCGATGGATATACAGATTAGTTTAAACTCTATAGGTGTAACTACCGTGTATCAACCACCCCCAAGCTTATCACTATCGTCATGTGTTGATAATATTTCTGAGTTGACTGGATCAAATGAAGAAAAATTCGTGAAATCGGCAAAGAAAGGTATTAACAAACTACAAACTTCACCTTTAAAGCGAATCAATGATTATTTGAAGATTGTTGAGAAGAATTTAAATGATGCTGAACAAAGTGACATGCATAGAGCTCAGAGGCCGATGATTGTTCACAGCTTGGATTCAATTGACTATTTAATCAATATATCACATAAGTTGGATTATTTTTCACGAAATTTAGAAATAAATCAATCAACGTATGGATTGAAATCTTTATTGGAATCATCTATTGATAGTCAGCATACTTTGAGTGAACCAAATTATAATGTATATAAAGTATTCAAATCCATTACAAGCAATCGAACGCTTTTATCAGAGGTAGAGTTAAGAAATCTTTTACATACATCCGTGAGCCACGAATTTATGAATTCCAAATCAACTAAAGTTTTATCATTCATGAAACTTATCCCGAATATTGATTTGAGTACAGATAGAAGTGATATTAGCTTTGCTATACTGTATGCATCGGATGAAAGCGATGATAATAACTCCTTGTTTGACGGATTACAGAAAAGTAAACACAGCGATGATAGAGCTTATGATATTGGAAGCTTTATAGAAAGACTCGACAATGGGTTTCATGTTTGATATCTATTATATTTAATGAATATATGATGAGGAGAGATGTCAGTGTATGGATGTCACGAAATAAATGTCTGTCTTTGATTTGCTAAGTATATCTAGTTTTTTATTATCTTCCAAGGTCATCATCATTTAATCTTAAGACCATGTATAACTCTCATTTCAATTGAAATGGTAAGCAAAAGCAAGCCTATATCTTTTTCTTTAAAGTTGCAAAAAGATATTGCATACATAAAATTAAAATAATACGTAAGTCAATGTAACTAATGAGTTCCTCATTTGATGGATTACTAAAGGAGGTTATGAAATTACCAACCTTTATAAAAATACTCGATAATCGCTTTCAAATCTATCTATTATATCTAATGTATATATGAGCGTATAAACTATGTAAGACATGATTCGCTGTGCATAATTATGAAGAATAGAGGTATTTTTTTCAGGCGAGATTGGGAGAAGAATTAAACTTGCAATATGTTTTTTTTTGCAACTAAATCACCGAGTTGATTGTGCGCTACACCATCCATAATTCATTGTGCAATTTTTGATATTCTTCCATGATCCAATTCCAAATGTTCATACTATCACAGTCGGTGGTGAGTCTTGGCTTCCACGAAGTTGGGAATAGGGCATTATATAAATCTGCATCAAAATCCGCATCATGGCAATATATTCTAAATTCATTGTAAAAATCAAAATTATTCATGCCCTCCCATGGTTTGGGTATAGGAGAATCAGAGAAGTGAATCAATTTTATATTTTGCATAATTTCAATAGGTCGCCATTGATTATTTAATTCGCTGGTAGTAAATGGTAGGAATTGAGGCTCGGAGATAAACGATTCATGCAGTGGCTCTCTAAATTCTCCTGTTAATACACCATAGACTTTATGTGGTAATATTCCAACTTTGAAAGTTTCGTCAACTTGTAAGACATTATCAATAAACTTGTTCAAAATCTCCATATCATAATCAGATTTATTCCTTAATGCATGTCTCTTGTGAAGTGACCAAAGCCAAGGATTATGGACGTATTTTTTTAATTCATTAAATATTTCATTCGAAGGTTTAATTACCATAACTTGTGTTGCAAAAAAATTATTCCTATGATTCAGCTTCTGACTTTGAACTAACAATGATGGTAGCTTTTCAAAAATTAACCTATCATTAACGGACTTTGAAACTTCGTTGACTAATGCGGTTATCTCGTCCAGATACCTTTTTCCGTCTGGAGCCTTGATTTTTCCTGAAGCTTTGGTATGTTTCGTTAGCCAGTATGCTTGTGGTAAAGCTATATCGATTATTTCAGGTATACTGAATAGTTCATCGAGATTTCCAGGAACATTGGATTTATTGTTAGCAGCACTTAAATTATCATTCTCTTGCGTATGTAGAAGCATGGAATCTGCGTCGAAATAAACAATGCGATCGTATTCAACTTCATTGAATATGTGAAATTTAGTGAAAGATTTTGACCATGTCGGACTTTCGGCAATGACGTTTTCAATAATGGGGATAGGCTTCAATGTTAAAGAATATCGTAAAGAAAGATTTTCGAGGCCCTCGAACCGATTTTTATCTTCTTGTAAGGCTCTATTAAATAATACAACCAAGTTCGGTATCTTAGTGGAAGACCTTCTTAGGACAATAAAGTTTATTATTGCCAAGTTCAAGTAGTCGAAATCAGTTGCATATTGAACATAAGCATATTTATCGAAATTCAAATTGTTATTGAATTTAGCACTCAATACATTAATTATTTCCAACGGTAAGACTTTTAGATTCTTAGAGAGGCTGTGGTCTTCGGAAACGAATATTAGTTGAGTAAGAATAAAATATAGTAAAATACTAAGCAGGAGTATATATTCCCAGGAAAGGTTGAAAAGGACCTTATCTAAAACAAGCTTCATATTTTGTAATCATATTTATCTAAAGTATTTAGGAACTGGCATTGCATTCTTTATCTTTTATACATACATACTACAATAATTATAGTAAAAAAATGCGCAAACCCGGAATCGAACCGGGGGCCCAACGATGGCAACGTTGGATTTTACCACTAAACCATTTGCGCTAGAAAGAAATGCTCCGCGACGGGGAATTGAACCCCGGTCTACCATGCGACAAACGGTAATTCTAGCCACTAAACTATCACGGATGTTTACTTGCAATGTGTAAGAGAACATGCCCATATATATATGTGTTATACGTACAGTACGCGTTGCAAAGTATACGTCTTGCAATTACAGCCACGATTGCAAAACTATA